GGGCCTGTACCACTCGGACTTCGCTGGCCCCCGCAACGCCGCGACCACGGTGGCTAGGGACGGCAAGGCTGCGGCAGCGGGGGCTGGGGACGACAAGACGGTTCGGCACGAGGACGTGGTGTACCAGTTTTCCATCTTTGAGAATCAGCGGTGGTGGGTGGGGCTCGACTGGACGGCTGCGCTTTTGCCGCAGGAGCGCCCGAGCTGGTCGGACGAGTCGAACAGCCCCGTGTCGCCGCCGTCGTCGTTCAGTCTGCCGGCGACCAAGATCATGCTGACGCCCGCGCCGACGCCGGAGGACCCCAAGGCGTTTACGCGCCGCACGATCAAGTGGGCCTGGGTGGATGCCGAGTGGTCGATCGCCGGCGTGTCGTCGCGCGGCTACTACCCGTCGTCGGTGTACAAGGGCAGCGCCAAGGATGCTGCGATCCAGTCGGCGCATGCGCTCGGCGACAAGGACGCGCTCAATGCGGCCAAGCAGGGCTACCTCGGCGATGCACTCAACCGCATCCGCGCACGCACGGACAAGGACAAGGACAAGGAGGATGTCGGCGATGTGGGCACCACCGTGCACCGCGTCGACGGCAGTGAGGAGGAGTGGGATGTGGATGCAGACGGGTGGCAGTACGGCGACAATGCGTGGGACAAGATGTCCAACAAGTCCGGCATGGGCCGCTACACGCGCCGCCGAAAGTGGCTGCGCAGAGCGGTGCTGCTCGAGCTCGTCGAGTACGGTGTGCATGGTCCCACCCCCTCGTCCCCCTCGGCCTCTGCACCCAAGGCCGAAGCTGCCACCTCGGAAGTTGAGAAGGTAGACGGCATCGACCCAGTAACGCCTCCCTCGACTGACGCTGATGTTGCACCCGCCAGCACTGCTGATGCTTCATCTTCACCGTCCTCAGCGCTGGGGGGTAAACGGCCGAGCATTTCAGACCGACTGGCCAAAGCGGCCTCGTAGCCCCTGCACTGAAAATTCTAATTGCGAAGCGTGGTGATGGCGACGGATCCTAGTGTGCGGCGCATTTCGGCCTGGTCTACATCGTGGCTGTCCTCGACGGCGCCCCAGCGGTTGATCTGGCTCTGCACCTCCACCTCGGCCGCCTGGGCTGCCTGCTCGACCGAGAGGTGGCGCGACACAAGGCCGAGGCTGATGAGGAACGACTTGGTGAGCATCACGCTGCGCTCGAAAGCGGCGAGGTCAAAGTGGTCCAGCTTGGCCAGATGGGTGGCGAAGGTGTCGAGCGTTCCCGGAGCGTGTGTGTTACCGAGCAGCCCTGTGAAGGGAGCGATTTCGACGCCGTAGGTCTGGTTGACGTGGGCAAGGAGCGGTTTCCAGTGCTGCTCCTGCAGCTCCACCAGTGCCTTTGGTTGCGTCTCTTGAAAGCTTCTCCCGCGAAAACACGTCAGCCATGGCTCCAATGGCAAGTAAAACCTAGCAAGGGGTGGGTGGACTTACCAGATGGTTTCATTTTCGAGGTAGCGCAGCAGATCGGCTTGAATGCCCACGCGCTCGCTGCTATCCGAGCACGCATCCAACGCGCGTGCCGCTAGGCTGGTAAGCGGCAAGGCGTGAGGTTTGAGCACTTTATCCTGTTCGTTCCACTCCTGCGCCATGCACGTAGCGAGCAGCTCTCGCTCTTGAGGGATCACGATCGTCTGTCCACCCGGTGTGCGAATCGCCCTGTTGTCGAGCAACACCCTGAACCCATCGCACTCGGACGACGGAGGCGAAAGCGAGACCGTCTTCCAGAAGCGCGACTTGAGCCGTTCGGCCCTGTCCAGCGCGGCCTCCTCGAGGGCAATGCGAGACGTGTGCAGCCCCGCAAAGCGCCAACCTGCCCGCAGAGATTGCCCAACCGCAGTCCGAGAGAGAAGCAACATCTTGATGTCCACGCGGTGGTCGAAAAGGTAACACCTCATCCCCTTGACCACACTTCTTCGCTTTCACCCCAAATCCCGCCGCCAATCCCCCATCCCCCCCC